TGGTTAAATGTACGATTCCGAATATAAAATGCACTTCATCAAAGCTAAATGACAATGCAGCAGTTTACATAAAAAGCTGTTTTTTGCTAGCTTACCTATGTTCTCGTTGATTCTTCTGCATGACATTTGAAGATTTTGTTGAACACATGTTGGAGGACATAAATGAACCACAACTTAAAAAAAAAGAAGCAAAAAAACCACCACGTAACATTTTATTCAGTGAGCACCAGTCAGTCAGTACAAACCGTCAGTTTTTTCCTCAGAACCTCAAGTTTTGTTTGAACAGAGACATTAAAGTCAGACAGCAGAAAAACGAGCTACGCCTCAGTGAAGGCGCGGTGGGAGGAGGCCTTCAGTCTTTTAGTGTGCTTCATACAAAACCTACAGAGTAAAAAATAAACAACACACATACATATATATATTTATATACATACATGTTCCAACCTCATACAACCAAATCTGAATGTGAGCTGACTGTTTTCACACTAGGTCCCGCTACAGTACATATTAATGTTGATGTCCACTCTAATATTGTTACTTCAAAAGAGATGTGTTAATGGTGAAGTTTTATTAAAGGACGCAGAACAAAAGAAATCAAATTTGTAGGACTAAGCTTTGAAAAAAAAATGGCGTAAACAAAACTGGTGATTTTACAGCAGGGGGCATCATAGTGCAGTTAGCCTATGCTGAAGCCTTCAGTATCACCTGTACATTTTTACTGTTGTAGTCTTATCATGCTTTAAAAAAAAGAATAAAGGTTTCAAAAACAAAATAAAAATTAAATTTAAAAAAAGGAAGAAAACACAAGGACAAAGGCTATCCGACAGGCTACACTGTGACAGATCAAGGACGAATTTAAAAATGATTGTCCTTGTTAGTATCACTGCTTTTATATATCGCAGAGTGCAGTCGGCTAAATCCTCATAGAGCTGTAAACCTCAGTCCCAGCAGCAGTGGAAGTCAGTTGACCAAAAGGAAAACAAATCCACGTCATTAGTTACACTTCACCAACACAAGTTTGGACAGAGCTGCTGCAAATCTCCACAATGTGAATCGCCCATTCTACATTTCTAAGGTGCTCTACCAGATTGGGATCAGGTGAACTCATAGTCATCAAGAATCAGTTTGAGATTACCTGTGACTCTATCATCTGAATGTTGAAGCAGAAATCAAAACTCATCAGACAAGGCAACGTTTTCCCAGCCGGCTACTGTGAGCCTGTGTGAACTGTAGCCTCAGATTCCTGTTCTTAGCCAATAGGAGGAGCAGAGGGTGTGGTCTTCTGCTGCTGTAGCCAATCTGCTTTAACGTCATTCAATGTGTTCAGAGATGCTCTTCTACATCCTTTGTTTGTAACAAATAGCTATTTGAGTTACTGGTGTCTACCTATCATAATTTCCCATAAACCCTTGTCTCTCTAAACCCTGAAAATCCAGTAGATCAGCAGTTTCTGAAATACCAACAACCGTGCCACATCCAGACTTAAACCTTTCTTTCTTTTTTCACCTTTCTTCCACATTTTGGTGTTTGTTTTAAACTTCAAGTCCAGTTGACCATGTCTACATGCCTAAAGGCACTGAGTTAATGCCATGAGATTAATGACTAGTTTAACCAGTATATCTAATGAAGTGTCTGTTGAGTGTTTTTCCCCTGCTCGCCTAATCCCCCATTCATCCGTCATTCATCCCCGGTTGTAAGAAATTAACACTCGTGCCATTTTCTGGTGACACATCAGTCATTAGTTAGTGACTAAAGTCTAAGAGATGTGTGTGCAGCTGTTTCCACATGCTTCAAATGTGCTTATGTGTTTGGGAAACTTTGGTACCAGTGAACTCAAACACACATTGGTTCATTTTGACTCACTGTCGCATACACTGCCCTGCTGCTGACGCACAGGCTCACTAAAAGCATCAGACGTAGCGCACAATGAAAGCACGGTTTCAATATGACTATTTGAATTGACAGCCCCTGCTGTTTAAAAATATACTGACACGTTTTTTAATCTCCAATAAAGTACATATATGATTATGACCTCATTTTAATTTGAAGCCCTTCATTCTCACTTGGTCTTGCAGACAAATGTATGCATGGTAACTGTAGCCTGTTTGATGCAGACGGCTAAGAAAAATCTAGACATGGACAGACATGTAAGACCCGCAGGCTTAACTCCGGCTTCGAGTGGGAACTAAACATGAAACCAATACAAAGAAAACTTAAAGAGGACCTACTGCTCTTCCTTTTTTGTCTTATTTTTAAGCCTAATTCGATCATATTTTTGTTGTTACAGTGTTACAAGGATGACCAAAGTTTCAAATAATGCAAAGGTTCAGTCTCTGGGCCTTTTAATGAATTTGAGAGGATCTCGTCATATCACAGTTCAGACTGTGATGTAAAAGTCCCGCCCACCTGCTACTGAATTCTGAATTCGGTGTTTATGAGTGGCAGCCAATCAGAAGAAACTTCTTAGAAGGGACGTGGCTGCAGTGAAGTGCTTCCTCAGTATAAGATAAATAAGGGTTATTTTGAATTGTGAATAAAGCAAAGTTACTCTAGCACAGTCCAAAAATAAAAAAATATGGAGCTGGAAATGAGTATGATCAGTCCTCTTTAAATGTGAATGCATGTTAGTGTGGGAGTGTTTCTCGGTATGTTTGCATGTGGGAGCTGAAGTACATCATTATGTGCCCGCATGTGTTTCCCATTCACGTGTCACATCTTCTACTTAGATCATGCCTGCATGTGTTTATGTGTGTTTGTTTGCTCAGTTCCTCCTTTGATGCATGTTGCCCACATATGTGTTCTCTATACACAGCACTACATAGTGGTTGGAGCAGGAGCGCACGTGCTGCCCTAACAGTCGTCCCGTCTGCAGCAGGGCAACCTGACCCGTCACCGCCATGTCCGCTGTCCTCCAGGCCTCGCAGTAGTTAGTGGTCAGGCGGATGCCCGTGGTGCTGGAGCCATGCCAAACCAGCTTCTCTGGCCTATGGGAAAACGGAGAGAGACTTGGTGTGGATTTTACACAGACTGTCCCTGTGCTATAGCAGTTTAGGTAAAGACGGACAAATGGAAGACGAGAGCATTGAGGTCGACTGCAGCTACTTTGAAGGCAGTTCACAGCAGAAAGAGCCTGTGTGTGTGAAGTTTGTGCATTCTTGTGTCTGAGTTCTCCACATGGTTTTGCCTGTCCAGCTGGAAGACTGACCAGTACTTAACTTACTGGGCAACTTTAGTTAATGTTTTCTTTGTACTTTAAGATGCACTGTTATACAACAGTTCAACTTTTTGCTACTCCTGTCTCCTCATTATCTAAAATTAGACAGGTGCATCATCTCCTGGTGCCTTGAGGTAAGAAGCTTCCCATTCGTGTGTTATTAGGACCAAACTGACTCCTTATGAGCGCATAACATCACTCTTAGCTGATTGTTAAAAATGTCAGGCTAATGCAACACATGCCTTTGCTTTTCTGTGCTTCTTAGTTCATCGCATGGCATACACTGGCACAGATTAGTGACAGTAGGCAAAAATAAAATATTTCTTTGGTTTATGACTTCATGAAATCTGCTCACTGCGGCCTGAGTTTATTGGTTTAAGAAAGCTTGTTAAAGTGTGAAAAATCTCACCACTAGATGTCAGTAGAGTGCATAATCCTAGCTATGGTGGATGCTGTAGGACAAAGTCAGCCAAAAACATAAAATTTAGAGCGTTTACCTCAGCTGTCAATGCTGGTTGAGAAACATCCACGACTATTTAGGCGGGAGGAGGCTATAAAACTTTGTCAAAGGAGTCTGATGCAAGCTCATTTCTGACCAATGACGGGAAAACTGAGGTGAGTTTGCAGCTGTTAGCTGCTGTTAGCTGCTGTTAGCTGCTGTTAGCTGCTGTTAGCTGCAGTTAGCTGCAGTTAGCTGCAGTTAGCTGCAGTTAGCTGCAGCTAACTGCTGTTAGTCGACATTAGTGAAACTTTCCTTTAAGTGGCTCTAACACTGTTGGCCTCTGACACTTATTGAATAAACCCGTATATGATGTGAAAATGTAACCAAACTGTTTATCAGGGGGGACTGATTTTTAGGACATTCGAGGCTAACATTCTTCATAACATTCATAACTGGGTGTTTAGCTGGTTCTTTGCAGCTGCCTGAACACAGGAGGGTCAGCTGTCTAAGTAATTCTGAAAATATTGGGTGTAAATAAGCAATTCAAATTTGCCTTTATGAAACCCGAATGTCTATCAGTTCTTTCCTCTTTAATGTAATGGCAATGTCCATCTTGGCCGTTGTGTTTATGGAGATGGGGCAACAGGGCTGCTTTTACAAACCCACTATGTGTTTTTTGTGGATTATTTCTAAGCTTATGAGAATGGAGTCATTTGTTTGAAGACACGCTAATCACTGTATGTTTATGCCTGACTGTGCCTTTAATTAAAAATGCCTGTGACTATATATGAGAGATGGATTTGACTACTGATGACATTATTCATCAATAGTCCAGTTCAACCAAAGTTTATCTGGCTTTATTACACTTTCATAACTGCAAATGAGACTATAATTTACAAAACTGAAATCACACTGTGTTAAAAGCGACTAGAGGCTTGTGACTGAGGCTATAAACTCATCAGGACCATTTTGACTAAGCTACCAGAACAACTGCAGTAGACGGCCTTAAAATGATCAACTGCAGCCCTCCTACCCCTGGCATGCATAAGAGATAAATCCTGTCTGTCGCCAGATTTGATTTCTATCTATGTTAGAAAATTTCAGACCCCCGCAGCACTTTTCAAAAAACAGGAGAATTTATGCAGGCCGACAAAGAACATATTACCAGAACCTTCTGTGAGTTGAGGAATGGAGCCGGATTTTGGTATTTCTGATCAATTTGCCAACTGACTGAGAAAACTGTTTTTCTCTCAAAAAAAAGACAACCAAAAAACTCTCCATCTTCCACCATGTTCTCATAAATGCTCAAAAGTGCTCGTAAACGCATTTGCCAGTACCACTGATCATCTGAGCGAGAGCTGCTGTCCACATGAACATGAAATTTATGGCCTGTAC